ACTTCAATGTGATCATCCCTAATCATCCCAAATTCTGTGAGTCCGAACACATCAAACTTGAGATGATGATCCGAACTCCGTGAGGACTTTGGCCGCACACAGGAGACGAGCTGGCTGCGTGCGGTGCTGGAGTTGAAAGCGGATTTCCAAGTCGGGGGAAAGGCTTCAAAGTTTGTGTAGCAGTGTAGCATAATTTCTGCACTACTCTACACTATGATCTCTTTCTGGTAACATAATCTCTCAAGTGCGAGGAGGTGCCAAAGCATGTCCATCTTATGGGATCCCATGACACGTCCAGAGCAGCGGAATGCCCTTTGTCATGCATGGGCCAGTGCACTACCAGCTTGGCTGGAGAGTCCTGGAGAGAACGATTGGCTGGCCGAGCGAACGGAGAAGTTGAACCAGCTGAAGAGACAAACAGTCACTTTTCCTGTACCTGCAAGGCAAACTGCATCCCAGCACCTCAAGACACACGAAGCACCACACGGAATGATTTTCTGATCTCGACCGTTTCTGGGCTTGTCGTCTTCTAACACTGCTTCCTGAGAGCGCAAAGCTTCAAGCACCAATCCTGGCATTAGGTGGTGAAACGGTGAAATGCAAAGCTTCAACCTGCATGCCACACCCCAACCGGCAACGTGCTGACCTCACGAAACACGCGCACCTCGGCAACAAGGTCCCCGCGCCTCGTATCCTGCGCGCAGCTTCGCGCCGGCAACACTGTGTCACGTTTCGACGTCAGTTCAACCAAATAGAATCCATCCATCCATCCATCACAGCACCAGCACCAGCACCAGCACAGCCAAATCCAATCCGACCACAATTCTTTGCGCGGACTGTCAGGTCTCCTTTTGCAGCCGCACGTCACTCATCCAGCACCGCATGATGGAACACTGGGTCTTTTCGATGCATCCATTTTTTTTGTTGATCAAAATCGAGATGCCTTGCATAGATTGCCAACACCCACATTGTGTCTCTGCAACAGCAGCAGCAATGTTCCGATCATGCAAGCACTCCGTCCTCCCATGAAAAGGGTACCATTCCATGGAAGATGCAGATTGGGACGAGCTGCTCCAAGCTCACTAAGCTCACCTACAACAGCGCTTGGCAGCTCCTTCAGATGACCATGCAGCCACAATGCAAGCAGGGCTTTGGCTGCTGCTCAATGACCGGTGCTTTGCCCGGCCTATGAGCTCTTGGTGGCCACTATGGACAGGTTGGAAAGCCATTACATCACGTTGTTGAGGCTCTCCACCACCAACCAGTGGCTTGAGAAGAACGACGAGCACCCTCCCATCTACCACAACGAGCTCCCCCCCCGCCTTTGCGCTGTCGGCGGCAGCCGTACTCTTCCTGAGGGCCAAAACGGACCCAGTTCCTTCGGACTAACTTCTCAAGCTGCTCAATCTCTTGCAGTCCTCGAATTTGAGGCAGGCTTGAACAGCCAAGCCTTTTCATGGAACCCATAATGTAAATGTAAAGGAAGGGTTGCGCAACGAGACACATTTGTCGGCGTCCTGCAAAGTGCAAAGTGCAAAAGTCCATCCATTCCATCCATCCATCCATCCATCCATGCAGGGTCCTGGTGACGACAACGCGACGATAACACGATGACGCTGCAGGGGTGGTAAGAGGGGAATGTGCACAAACCAGAGAGAATCCACAAAAGTGCCCAGTGCCAAGAGTGTCAAAAGGCCAACTGAGATGATTTTTTTACATGTGGGTTGGAGGCCATCGCTATTAGGTGGGAGGCCATCGCTATTCTTTTACATGTCAAAAAAATGCAAAGAATGTGCCGAAAGAGTTCGCCACGGAAGCGAAAGGTGCTGGAGCAGAACGTGCCGCAAAGTCCAACTTCAACAGGGGTTAGTTTATGTGTCATTTGTATTCCTTTTGATTTTTGGGCGATACGTTTGCTTGGTGAAGTCTCTGTAACATGCAAAACCAAATCTCCGCCGCGCTCTCTAGCAACCAGGCCCCAGCTAGGACCTATGACCTAGCTCAGCCTCTTTCCCACTTATACGTACCTGGGTGGAAACTTTGCCCATGAGGCCTAGCCTGTATCACTCATGCTCTTGAGCGGACTCGCACGAGCGCAGCCGCTCTGGTGCAAGATTTTGGTTGGGGGTTGCTGAGGTGTTGGGCTGGGCCAGTCTGGCCGCTTGTCAGGCGGTTTCTTTGGACCATCATCCTATCGACGTTGAGGTTGGCACCACTCAACGTGCTCATTGCTCGCTACTTTGAGCTTTCTGGCTACGACGCTGTCGTGAGCCTTCCTGTTCGTCCTGACCATAGCCTACATCTCCGCGGTTGATCAGAACCACCAAGAAAACTTTTGTGGCGCGTGTATTCTGGTCTTCTGCCGGTAGTATTGGCGTTGTGGTGCTTTTTTGAACACAACAACGTTCTGGTCAGGAGGCCTGGCCCACGGTGAGCGTCTCTTTGCAGAGTGGTGAGGCAGTCCTCATAGGCTGTGGATGTGGGGCACATGGGCGTTCGGGGTCTCACATTGCTTTTGCACCAGCTGGAATGTACACACCCTGGCAAGAACTTTACTGGGTGCTTTGTTTTGGTAGTGCCAACACATTGTTTGGAAAGTAGATGACTAGTATCTTAACTTATAACCTATCCTCAAAAGTTCTTTTGTGCCATCTAGAATGGCGTGGTTACATTGGGACTGTGTACCCATTGGTGGTTGAATCTAAAGCTTAGAGGGGGTTCAGAATTGAATTGATATTCCTCCATCATACCAGTGACCTGACCGCAAGAGAATCAAATGAGCAGTGACAACTGCTTTGGATGGTAGCTGTGTCATTTATAGTTGCCTCTGTTTGCTGAGGGTTTGTCTCTCATCGGATGGGCCCGATTTGGTAAGTTTCTCACGCTGCAACATGCGGCTTGCTATTTTGTTCTGCACCGTTGCCTGCCTCGGCGCCTTCACAGCAAGCGAAATGCATGGATTTGTTAAGAAAGAATGGTGGCCTCATGATGTACTCCATGGGATTCGGGGCTTCACCCATCGAACCAGTTCGCAGTGTGGCATTTTTTGCAGGAGACTTCGTTCAATATTTATGGGGATGCTAGCCAAAGATGCCAAATTTTGATCTTTTTCGAAACAACGCAGAGACGATCTTTGAGGTTGCAGGTGGATGATGAAGTGCCACGCCACCATCCTGTTTACTGCAACAACAACTCCAGGTGCTCAGAAACAGCCAATGAGAATGAGAGCACAAAATAGCACAAACAGATCTCCATTGATCACAACGACTTTGCTCATCACATTGCACCTTGTTTCTGAGTTGCCGAGCATGGCTGAGTCGTGCCTCGTCCGCGCCAAGTGGGTCTTTTGGGCCTCACAACAGGTCTGTGGAAAGTAACTGCTCTTTTCTGTTGTGGCAAATCAAAGCCACACTGATTTGGGCACGGTGAACCGAGAGCTGTTTATTCCTTCCCTTCGAGAGATATCTATCTCTACCCTCGTGGCCGCTTGTAGTCAGGCGTCTTTTACAGCTTCATGTTCAGGTCGTTGGCCCGTTGGCACTCGTTGATGTAATGCGAGCATTCGGCGTAATGGGTTTTGAACCGAGATTCATGCCATTTCTCTGTGGTCTGGTACGACTTGATACAGGTGGTCCTAGTGTTAGGATTCGGAACTCCGAGGCAAGCTTGTGCCGGAAGTTTCCAGTCCATTGGATTTATCCAAACATCTACAAAAGTGACCTCCAAGAAACGGAGTCCGCTCTTCCGCCACCAGCGGTCTTCGTCACGGAGTCACGGAGATTCTTCGACCGATCCACTCAGCTGAGGGCGAAGCTTCGAGACTTTCGAAGCCTCGTGGCGACCTTGGTCGGGCTGAGCGCGCGGAGGGCTGGAAGCCGGGTGAGTCCATCCGATCAGACTTCGATTAGACCCGTTGGTTCCGAAAACAGAGGCATCCCAACCAGTGCAGTGATACCAGAAGTATGCCGCAGTACTGTGCTGCCCTTCCTTTGGGAGTGTGCAGTGCTACTCTGGGTTTGAGCAAACTGATGGACATCAAACAATTGAAACGGTTCGTTGCTTGCCTGGCGAACGAGGCCCCCCAATCGAAGAGGGGGATCTGAGATTTGGACGCCCATGAGACGTGTTCAACAGAGGTGGCCTCTAACTTGGCATGCGAAGCGCGGGTTCGGAGAGGCCCTTTTTTTAGATTTGGTGTTCTGAGACTCCAGACATCTTTAGACCTTTGTCAAGGTGCTCTTGGCTTTGGCGAACCGATGTTTTTCGCACAAAGCAACCTCCGACTCCTCGTACCTCTAAAGTGTCGCGTCAACGATGCACACGTCAGGATGAGGGAACGGCCGTGGACCGAGTGCAGGGCCTGCTGCAGCAGCGGGGTTTCTGCATGATTTCCAGCGAGTTGGACTCTTGTGGCTTTGGTATGAAAGAGTGTGAGGTTGTGGCAGTGGAAGAATCTGCGGTGACACGGGCTTCTCAACGGCCAAAACACCTTTTTGAGGTCGGACCTTTCAATTTCAATGGTCCTTGGAAGAGACCTAGGACGTTGTGGAAGGCATGTGAGGTCTGAAGATCTGGTCGTCTTTCAGCTGACAGGGTCGGATCGTTGATTTCAGCTCCGAAAAGGCGGTTTATTCGAGGCGACGCTGCCTTAGATGCCGAATGTCTCTGGTGTTCGCGGCGCATGCGGCGAACACCGCTGGAGGCAGGGAGCGCTTCAGGGGAGTGCAGTGTAGTCTCACCAGCAAGCTGCTGGAAAGGTAGCGAAAGTAAGATCCGGGTAGTTACTAGGAGCTAGCTCAAAACCTGTTGCTTGTAAGAGTCTTGATGTTGATGGATTGGAAACCTTCTTTGTATGGAGGTGCAAAGATTTCAATGTACTTGCCTCTTTGCCCGAGGAGGTAGTGTTGGATCTCCATCAGCACATAGGGTACTTGTGACCTCAAGGCTTGGCATCCTTCCATTCGACTCCATGCGTCCCGCGCTCGCACCCGCGCTTGCAGATGCGGGACGCTTACTTCGGTTCCGCCTCAGACTGGAGCTATGAGGTGGAGCCTGATGTCCCCTACACCAGCGAGGCTCCACAAGAGCATCGCAAGAGTGGAGGGGTTCAGACATGTATTGAGCATGCCAGAACGATGGACAGATGTGATCTCAGGAGGTGCTTTAGCTAATCGGGCATTGGGTGATGTTGAAACTCAAAAGTCGATCTCGAGAGCAAGAAGAAGGTAGCAAGCTTTTCTTTAACAAAAAGATTTGTTTTGCCTGCCCAAGTGAACAATGGCCCACCTCTTGAAACTGACTCGCGAGTACGGAATACGAGAATGCCATCTCCACACTCCAGAGATCCAACTTTTCTTCGAGTTCTTCATCAGGAGGTGGGTGGCGCTTTATATGCCTTGGATGGTCAGCTCGCCGAGCTGAGCCAGCTGGTGGCCAGGCTGGGCTGGAGCGAAGCCCTGGAGGTTTCTGGAGGAAGAAGAGATGCTTCAGCAATCGCAGAGTTCGTCACATGACCCATGGAGTTTGAGGGATTTGGACAATGATGACTTCCAACAGGCATACTTCTTGGTGCAGAACTCATCGGAGCCATTTCTCCACAGGTGGTCAAGCATTCATTATTCCTCAATCTTCAAGGGCGTTAACCAGACCACCCAAACCCCTCCACTGGTCTGCCTTTTTCTTCTCACGGCAGGTCCGTGTCCAGCTTCGCAGCACGGCGCCTCACACAGAGATGCGCAGGGCTGCTGCACTGCTCCAGCTTGCAGGGGGAGCAGCCCAAGACCTCTCATGACACAGAGGCGCACAGACCTGGCAGTTTTTTGGCTGAAGGAAGTTCGAAGAAGCCAAGATCATGAAGTTCCTGGTCGGACGAGTGAAGTTTGGTGGGAGGATTGCGTGCAAAAGGCCTAGTTGGCTGATGGAGTTTTCAATTTCGTGGCAGACTGAAAAGGCCGTTGGTCAAGTCAGAATGGCACAAGAGCTCCGTGCTCCGACCCGCATCGTTATGAGTGAGTTGTTCTAATACCTTCATCTTCATGACAGGCCCTTTGCCTGCGGTCCGAAAGCTGGCACCGGGGTGGTCGATCCTTTTGACCTTTCGACACCTCCAACATGCGTAAGAAAGAATCCAAACAAAACTGACGACACCGACGGGCTTTCTTCAACAGGTCGATCCTCCAGGTCGGGTCACTGCGGAGGAGGCGCGTTGCTTGGGGGGTTGGTCGTTTGTTTTCCTTTTTTCGGGTCGGGGTGTTGGTCGTGTGGTCGGCTGAAGAGGGTCAGTTTCGGCTGAAACGCATGAAAAGTGTTTGCTCAGACCCATGTGTGACTCATGGGGCTCATGATTGTTGCTGCTGCTACAGCACAAGTGGGGGTGGGGTTGTAGCTTGTTGACGATCATTAATCATTTTTCATCCACTCTTGAATGCCAACGCTGGCGATGGCGCAGCGCAGGTGGGACTCTACGTGTCGCACTGCGCCATGAAAAAGGTGGCCAGGGTGGGGGGGTGAGGCACAAACGGCCAGGAGGAGGAGCTCTTGAGCAATTGAAGTCTCACCTGTCCACTTGGCATTATGGGTACGCGGTAGACCTCAATTTGCATCATGGGTTACTGTAGTTGGAGGAATCTCAAATCAGGCAGTGTGCATAAATCTTGAGGCTGACCGACACCTGTTTGGACTGGCAATCACCCTGCGTATGGTCTTTCCCCCAGAAGAGGATTAGATGGCGACCTGGAGGAATCCCCACCAACCGCCCACAGTTTGGGATGGTCTTGTTGTTCACATCGTTCACGTCCAGTTCCTATCAAATAGCAAAATAGCACCTTACTTGATTGGGCAGACAATATGGTGAATGTCATGGAAAGACTTGTCGAGGGGTTTGGCTTTGGAATCTGTATCATTTATCCCAGCAACGAATCTGAGCTGCAAAGTAAAAGGAGAAACAGATGAAGGATGCTTGTGGCCGTGTTTCGTTTACCGGAATTCTCCCTTGACAGAATCAAGGAAGGGCAGCATGCCACCCTGGACTTGAAGTATCCCAACAACATGGGTGCGTTTGGAATCTGGAATTGAATCAATAGGGTCCTGTGGCATAATCATGCGAAACTCAAATCAAATCCGTTGGCCGTCAGAAGTCGAAGGACCGGACACAGAAAGACCTGCATCGAATCGTTGAGATTCCCAGGTGGTGCTGCTCTATGCCTTTGGGAAGAGTGGGCTGCTGCTGCGACCGAGGTCCCTAGCAACAAGAACCAGGATAAGTCTAGGCAGTTTGGACTGACTTTTTTGGATCCATCAACCCTTGCTCTTTGGATCAATCTCGGACCTTCTCCGCTTCAGTTTATGTCTATCCTAGTCTGACCCCGATCCGATGCCGCCAGGGCCGACCCCTCTGAGGAGATCGAACTCTTCCTGGACTCTGGTGTCACGTCGTGGTTTTGGCGGACTGTGCATGGTCATGCTACATACAGTGTGGTGGTTCTCAACCATGCACGGGTCCAAGACCATTCCTCCAACCAAAGGGGACCAGTCATTGACTGAGGTGATGTCTTGATCTACCTTCACGAATTCGTGGTACCATCAGTGGATTTCTTGTGCTGCTTGGATTCCAGTCGCCAGTCGTGAGCCGCCTACAAGCCAAGCAGGCCATGCAGTAGAGATGAGACTGACAGAGTTTGCCTTGTTCTTTCAAAAGAGAACAGCAGGAAAGGTCTTTTCTTGTTGTTCCTACTGTAATTCTGGGAACCGCTCTACCATACAAACATACGAGCCACTTCTTTGTGTTTCTTTTGGTTTAAAGGGCACTCCTTTTTGTTCCTGTGTGGATGAGCCAGAGGACCAATTGGTCCAATTGTAATTGGACATAGCTCAACCTTTTGGATCAATCTTCACCACAGCCACAACCACAGTTCAAGTTTTCAACTCGGTCACGACCCCCACCGAGTGGCAAAAACTCCAGTACCATCTTTGTCCTATCAAAGTTGCGGGGGAAAAACCGTTCTCTTTGGTCCGTGCCCTCGACGACATGGCCCGCAGCCCAGGCGCAGCTGGGAGCTTTGGCGGGGGTCAGAGACCACCCCCGCTGGATTCCAAGTTAGGCGACGGACGTGGGGTGTTTGTTTTCATCCGCCGGGTGGAGCTGGCGGGGGGAGCTTCGGGTGACCAAAGGGACCAAATGTGACGCCTTAAGGTCGAACATGTGGAGAGGGGAGACAAGTTGCCAGGGAAAGACGTGAACATCTTAGAGTCTTTGACACATTCTTGAAAGGAAGCATTCTGTTTGTGCTTGATGGGCACCTTTGTTTTTCTACTAGTTATGAGAGTTCGGAACAGACGATCACTGTGATTAGCAAGCTTTGTACCTTAATTACATACTTGCGACAGTTATAGCTCCACCCATTGAGTGTGACTGGTTGGATTCAGTCTGTTTGCACTTAAGTTGAAGACTTGAAGCAAAGCCAAGCCAAGCCACCATACAGCCTTTCGTCACTCTTGCCAGCTAAGTGAAGCTTGACTCAAAGCTTGCTAGGCTTGCTGTACCAGCTGGATCTCATCTTCGAGCCCTGTGCACAACACAAGGCCAAGCAGGACTGAGTGAGTGAGTGAGAAAGTGACAGGAAGGAAGTCAACTCAGCAACTCTTTCGCGGAGCATGGGACAGATTTTTGGAGGTGAAACATTAGTAAAGAACCAGAGACATAGTCTCCATCAATGCGGGCTAGGTTTGGCTCCGCACTTTGCCTTCCTTGGGGTCCGGCGTGACGCGTCTCTGTTTTTGTCCACTCCCCCTCTCTGTTGACTGGAGGATTTGTTGGCAGTGCCAGAGACGGTGCTCGAGCAGTTCCTTGGACGAATCGTAGATAACCTGCTGTGGCCACGAATTTCTGAGATGGGACTCTTGGTTAGGAACACGAGGGGATAGGGGATGACCAATGCCTTGGGTTTTTGACACTGAGCCGAGGTACAATGAGCTCATCCAATCTGTTAAGGTGCGTGCGCGTTTTTGTGGGAAATCTGATTGGGTGGAACATGTTCATCAGTTCTGAGTGGAGCCATTGTTTGGTGGCCTCCTCAAGCTGCAACATCTACGGTATCCCACTGAAACTTAGAGGGGCTTTTGTGTGGAGATCAGCAAAAAAACACTAATCGTGACAACGATTATGATGATGACAACGAGCTATTTTAGTTTTCTGGATGACAAAGGACAGAGGTCCATGTGATGTTTGGAGTAGCGACTGGAGCCTTATTTCATTCACACATTAATGAAGGTTTGGAGCAAGATTAGGACCAACCTGGACCTGGCAGGCTCTGTTACCCGTTTGTTGTTTGTTAGGCCGTGAGCCAGCTACATCCAGTCAGTGACTGTCAGTTAGTCAGCCTGTCAGTCCAGTCAGTCGGTTGTCGCTCTCCGGGGCTGTCCAAAAAGCATCGACAATGGGACAGAAGGGGGTCTAGCAGGCAGCCAACTCAATAATGCCTTCTTGGATCAAAGATTGATCTGTGGGTCAGACTTTCCTCAATTGCTTTGTGATCCTCTTGCGGGTTGGCCTAATTGCTTTGAACTTAGATTCGGTTGCACAGAAATGGCCAACTTGAGCTATTGTTTGGAAGTTGATTGGTGAGTTGCCTGCAATCCAGTCCAAGGATGCCCAAGCCTCTTTGCAGTGTGACAAGTGAGGAATAGTGAGGATGGACCATGGACCATGATTACCACGGTTTTTCTTGTTGGTGTCCAAGCCTGTGGGCCCCTTCATTTGGAGGATCTGCCGCCATTGGAAGCTCCATTGCTCTCTTTGAAGGATGCGCCGCTTGGGTGGAACTTTCAATGAGAGATATGGTCAAAGTTTGGGCCTTCACCTGTGAACTTTCGTGAGTCGGGGGTTGGATCTGAACATGCGAGCCTGTTCTGGCAAAAGGGATCGTAGGCATAAAGTCCAAGCGGATTTTGTGTAAGAAAAACACATTGATATTGGGAGTGTGGTGGAACACCCCTATGGAACGCCTATATAAACCCTTATGGCAGCCCAAAAAAGCATGGAAACACATTTTTTTTACTGAGTTCGAAGTGAGTTTGGACAATTCTCCAAACTACAATGACCATGACTCCTTGTCACAGTGGGCGCAAATGCCAGGGTTCCATTTCTTTTTTCCCCAAACAGCGTGGTCACACCAGAATTTCTTAAGGTCGGGTGTTTGATCGGGGACAATGGCATCCGTGTGTGGCTAAGTCGCGGCTATGTACGCTACGTTCGTGCCTCTCAAGATCTTCGAAGCGCATTTCGACTGCGCAAGCTCGCAGAAACTACTGGGCCCTTGCGGGCGCTTTCCTCGATGTGAATCTTGAATGTGCAGGTTTCGTGGCAGGCGCAGCGCTTTGTGGACCTTGAAGCGCAGATTGTGTGGCAGACACAGCACTTTGTGAGCCTTCAGGTGCAGATTTCTTGGCAGGTTGGCAGCTTCATGTTTAATCGCCAACGCAACCGCTCCTTCTGATCGACTCTGAAGGTTGCAGCTGCTCAAATAAAAGACCATTCCAGCAAGGCTGACGTGCGTGAGCTCATCTCGGTGTTGAAAAAACGGCTCTGAGACTTATTTTTGAATGTCAACAGACGCCAATCCAGCAGACTGGCCCCCTAGAAATGACTCGGAGACAAGGGCGTCCACTCTGCAGCAGGGAGAGAGGCAATAAGAAAGGGGAGAGACAGTGCAGGAAATCTAGTACGCGAAGGGGCTCAGAGGAAGGCATGCTGCCATTAGAATGGAGATGAAAGGAGCAAACCTGCTTGGGAACGGACGCAGAAAGTCAAAGGTTAAGACAAAAACTATTTGAGATTGATCATCTGAAAGTGAGAAGTTCCTTCCACCGAAACATCTCCAAACTCAAACCTTGCAGTTCTTTCAAGCTCAAGCCAAACTCAAAAAACTAGCTGCAAGTCCTGAATATGTTGCTGAGCTTCCAGCGTGAGTCATTTGCTAAATTCAAAACCTGAGTTTATTTTTGAGACACCTTGCAAATGAAGTTTGGTTATAGTTTAGTTTGGGGGATTCTTGGGGCGTTCAGTTTTCGTTATTCACGGCGGTTTCGCTTTACTTACAATACACGCCCTAAGCCGTGATATCTTGTTCTTCAGTTCCACAGACGGCATCGCTACTAGTAACAAGGGCTCGCTATTGTTACTGTATGAACATCGCTCCACTGGGACTTGATGGTGTTCATGCTGGAAGGGCTCAAAGCGCACCAAAGACTTGAATATCGTACATCAACTGATTCGCAACAACCAGGGCGTGTATTTTTCATGCTTCAGACAAACCTTCAAACAAACCCATTTCATTGTTGGGCAAACACAAGTTGGAAGTGCATATTTTCGGGTTGAGGTCCAAACAGCACAATTATATATTCTAAATCTTGGCGCAGAGTTCGGGCCGTGACCAGAATCCTTTCTCTGCCGCCCCCAACCTCCAAGGCATTCCGATGGTAGCGGCATCGGCGTGGTTGCTTTGCATGAAGATTAGCGGCATCGGCAGGACTTCACAGCTTTCTGAAACAAGATTGCACATGATGTCCACAGACTTTACCACTGTAAAACCCTTGAAACTCACGGTTCTCGTACTTGTTGTTTTCCAGGGCCGATGTTCATAGACCTTTGACAGAATGGACATCGGAATGGGACTGGGCGAGACGATTGTTTTGACGAATACACGTTGTACACGCAAAAGATCCTGTTCTTGGAGTCACATGTCGTCTGCGAACCACGAGCTGAAACTCAGCGGCGCCTGGGGGGTGGCCATGTTTACCTTCGGGTCTGTGGTCTCAGGGGTCTTGGGGTGTCTTTTCCCGACAAAAAAGCTTTCTGCACATCCACCGCTGCTCGGCCGCTGCTCCGTTTTGGTTGTTCCCGAAAAACGCCGAGGCTTCTCTCCACACCGCGCTGCCCAGCTTGCCCCGAGATGTGGGTGGGCAGGTTGCAATGGAGGTGGGCGATGGTTTTTGTGAGCAGCTGGGACAGGAGGTTGAGGTTTCAAAGGTTGAAGACTTTCAAAGCATTTGGGTAACCCATCGCAACACGTTCCGAAGCGATTTGCCCTGCCCTTTGGTGTGCTTGGATATGTGGAATGTCAATTCAATGCATAGCCGCCGAAGCCTCCGCTTTCTTGTGCTGCATTATATACAGTAATCCAATTCTCACACACCGGTTTGTCTTTTCATGACTGGACTCACTCAGGGGCGAGGGTTGAGATTCAACGCCTTGTTCGATGAATTCTGCCTCTGTGGACCTTGAATAGAGGGAGAACCTGATCAGAGAAGCTTGTCTAAGAAGCGCCTACAATGGAAACATTCGCTTGAGGGCTTGGAAGGGAACCCTTCTCTGTGTATCCCTTTTCCAGCAAGGAAAGTCCAAGGAGCTCGACAGAGTTTCGGTTTTGAGGAGTTGTGGTGGTTCTGGTGCTCAAGTAGATTTATTGTTTGGACAAGCTGCATCAATTGAGTCCACCTTGAAGAAAAGGAGACACTGGGAGCTCAGCAAACCTAGAAATTATCCAACCATAGAACCATGTGATACACATGTAGAGCGTTTATATAGGCCAGTACACCTCCTGGAAGGTTCCACTTCAAGTCCTGCTGCCAACGAGTTCCAGACGGAAATCTATGAACATCTTGTCTAGGGAAGCACGCCTTTTTGATGGTTGGACGCATGCCAAATGCATGTACATGTATACACAGCTATAAAGTTTATACAATGTAAAAGACCTCCAAAACATCGCAGGAACCACACATGTAAAGCTTCTTGATCCTGAGGCAGTAGTATGAATTTTGTCTTTTGTAACAAGGTCTGGCTTGGATCAACAGCAGATCATCCAACTAGGCTTGGATTTTCAAGCACACGGAACTCCAACCTACTAGCGATGGCCTCCAACCAAAGAGCAATGGTCTCCTACCTAATAGAAATCAAAGTGCCAAACACATGAAAAGACACGAGATGGCCTCCAGCCGCCCCCGACGCCTTCGATTCATGGCGCCCCCATGGATGATCGCGCTGGGCGGCCATGGTGCTGGTGTTTGCTCTGGTGTTCGCTCTGGTGCTCGCGCGATCCCGAGCGGACTTCGAGACTTGGGATCCCGTGCCCTTGACGAACGTCAGCTTTGGAGAGCGGCTGGGGGGATTCCCGGTTCATTTTTTGATTTCTTTATTTCATTTTAGTTAAACGGGGGGGGGCAGGTCGCTAGTAGGTAGGTGAGAGGTAGGTTGGCTAGGAAGTCGGTAGCTAGTAGAAGCTAGGGAGTCGCTAGTAGCTTAAGTAGCTACTACTGTCAGGACGCAGGATAGCTCACGCTTCTGCAAGGAAGCTTCCCCCGCCGCCCTAAAGGCGGCAAGAGGGAGCTTCCTTGAAGAACCGTTCGCACTATTCATTTGGTTGCTAGATTTTCAGGGAAACTTACTGTATATATATATATAACTTATATAACTGCACATGAGGAGGATGTTCTGCATTTGGGGACCACTTGCATCCTTACGACATCTTGCGTTCCTTGCAACAGGGTACGACCCAATGCACCCTGACGACCATGTTCTGTTCATCACGACGGATGTTTTGATGAGAAAGTTCCGGGTTACGAAAAGCTGCACTGATGAGATGTGATTGTGGTGAAAGGGCAGGACCAGCCATCGGTTCAGCACGAAGATAAGACAGCTGCCCCTTTGTCACAAGTGCTTGGTTTCAAATGACATTTCTACAGTTTTACTGGCCACTCAGCTCAGCAAGCGAGGTTCCCTTCCGCCCAATCTCAGCGAACTCTGCGGATGAGATTCCTGTGGGGCTGGAAGAACGGCGGCGTGTGTTGGCTGAGAGGGAAGCATTTCTCTTACAGGCAGGTTTGCAGGAGCGGGTGGTGCAAAAGGGTTGCTCCAAGATTTACAAAAAGGGGAAGGTCACGAACGCTATTTTCTACACTTGGCATACCATTTTGCAGGAACCAGACGAAGAATCACAACATGAGATCTGGAAGAGTTCCTCTCTCCATCTTCCACCCTGAGGTGCAGGAGTGGAAGCATCTACTTGCGAACCGCTCACGTGAAGTGCGGTGTCGCAAGGAGATTTTTCGACGCCATTGGGCAGACCAGGACGCCGTGAGGATCCAAGGTGGTAAGCCCGGGAGTAGCGTCAGCTCAAGTAGGGTTAGACCATGCAAAGATGGCTGAAAGAGCCTCAGCCAATTTTGTTGTTCGTGTTGAAAGCCACGTTGGATAGCTTAACTCATGAAGTATGTAAGTCTGCAATATATACATATATATATATAAATAGGTGCCTTCCAGGTATGGGTCCTGCAAAACACAAATCACTCTTTCTGTGGACATTGAATCTGCAGAATCAAACATCTCCACTGCTTGGTATTTTGCTGACCTTGCTTTCGTGTTAGGGCTGTTAGGGTTTCCAATGCCATGTTGCCAGACTGAAGATAGATCATGTGGATCATGACCATTCCCCAGCACGATGCCTCCAAAGACTTTTTGGACGAACTGGCCGCCGTGGAGGAAGTGGCTGTGCTGCATTTGATCGTTTTCCGGCTGGTCCAAATCCAGGCCACGGCGGAAGTCGACGTCGCAGGTCGATCGCCACCGCACGGGAGTGCGAACGTGGGGGTCGAAGTCATCGTTTGCATCAAGAACTTGTAGCTTGGCGCCAGGAAGGTGAGGGGGCGAAGTCGTGGAAAAACCAAGGCCGAAGGGCCCAAGCGAGCCACGTGTTCGATATTTCTCAAAGCCTGGGTCAGGTGTCAGAAGATTTCAGAGGTAGATGCTGATTTGATGTGGGTGGGCTTCTAGATGGGGCAGTCTTGTTGCCATGCATTGCGATCAGTCCTGATCGAACACAAGCCGAGGACCTTTTGAGGCATTCAGAAAGGCCTTGAAACATCTTCAAACCATATCAACCACATCCGCCATGCTCAACTCATCCCAACTCAGCCCAACTCAGGAAGGCTGTGGCCGGCGATTTCCCGGTTCACGATGTGCTTCGTGCCTTGACGGTCTTGCCCGTGACCAACATTTGCCGGACGGCGGAGCCAGGCACCGATGTCCTCGATCGCCTGGCGACCTTTCTTGATGAAGCACCCAAGTCATCGACGCTCTACCTGGTGGTGACTTGGTGAAGAAGGTATTTATTGGTTCCATTTGCTTGGGTGAAGAAGGCCCCACATAAAGTAGAGTTGTTTGACAATACCTTGCTCAAACATGCTCAAACAAGCGCTGCTGGACAGGGATTTGGATTGAGTATTCAATCGTCCTATGTGAATCACCGGAGGGTGTTGAGCAAAGACCAACTTCCCCGAACCCTTGGGCAAAAACACATATGCAAAGGATATCAAAGGATCAGTTCAAGCAGCGCCCGACCATTCCGTCAGATGGAATCGACTCCTGACTCATCGACTCAAACCGACGGACCCCAACTCTCAGGTCTTCGCCACGAATGTCTTCTTCAACGACCTCCCCGACCGAAGCGGACCGGAGGCGATCCGCGCACGCTACCAGGCACTGAGCCCATCTCTAGGGGAGGCCTCTGGACACGTGGTGGTGGGCACCGCACGTTTTTGCGGAGAGGCGTGCGAGGCAGGGCCGCAGGGCCGGGGAGGAAGATGAAGGAAGGTGTGCAAGCCTGGACTTTGTCCACCCAGCACGAGCGCGAGCAGGGTTAAAAGGAGAAAAGTCTACTTATACCAGCACGATGTGATGCAAGGTGCATGGTTAATGTACTTTGTATTGGAGCTCTTCGGTTGCAAATATCACCACAAAGATATCGTCTGGACCTGATTGAACATTGAAAACCGTTGCTTTGCACAAGCAGACAAACCGTTGGGTCGGAGGTGGAAGATCCGCCCTATTTGGACGCTTCGGGTCTTTTGGGTCCAAAACAGTCGCTGCAGCGCCTCGTCCACTCGCTGATGCACGAGTCGCAGAGCCTGCCGAGCGGCCAATCGCCTGAGCCTGGATTCGCATAGTATTCGTCTTTAACTTGCATGCACACCACGGATGGTGAGGTTCAATTTTTGTGAAAGGAACAGAAAGTCTTCTTCTTTGTTTCTTGGTCTCCCTCCCTCCAAGGAACAGAAGGTCTTCCGCGGCTCTTCTTCTTGGATGGTCAAACCAAATCTGTCAACTTTTTTTGAATTAGAAATTATCCAGCTTGACCGGTATGCTTTTGGTTCACTGGGGTTGGGCACTGCCACTGCAAGCCACATTAGCAAAAAACATACAGCTGCCGCTGCTGTTTGGGGTCGATGCTGGCGTATCTTTTTGTTTTACCTTTTCATGATTTGTACCTGATCTGTTTTGTTAAGGCGATGAGCTCTGACATTGGGATCAACGAACACTTTTGCTGGATTTCTCATAAATAAGCATGGATTTCTCTTTCCTATCTTTCGCATGGAAAGCTCCTCACGGCAGAACACTTATATCTTTAAGGTTGGGCCAGATGCCGGAGCACACATACACACCAACACAACACACCACAATCCATTTGGTTTCGCAGGATTTGATTTTGTCTAGTGATCACTGCAAGGACCTGAGCCACTTGCTCCGCAGCTACATCCGCAAATCCTTCAAACAGACCACCGAAACATCGTGGGGACCTTCTATTGTTCTGGACCGTGAGCAGAGCATCTTTGGACACTTCGGGGAGGTCGCGTCTGGTCAGCTGGCATTCTTCAAGACGCTTTTAGTGAGTTGTGCTTTTTTGAAGACACAGCTTCATCAGCAATCCATTCAATGGATGTTTGATTGGGGTTCTGGGCAAAAAATCATCTGGCGAGTGAGGAATGTTGAACCCATGGGCCGTGGAGGGTTAAATGCAATGGTCAGTGCCAGGAGTCAAGGGCTTGTTCCTTTGAACCGACCACGGTCCAGGCTTTGACTGTGGTCTGCCGAACGAACTTGCCCAGGTTTGTGCGCTGATGGACGGAACTGGTGCAGCATGGCGAAGCCTTGCTGTGCCATCAGCAATCGCTTTCGACACCTCCATGAGGCATCCAGCCAAACAGGACAACGATCTGGTCGATGTGGATCCAAGACTCCCAAAAATCCAAGAATGCTACTAGTAGCTTCTTGTTACTAGTAGTAATGGCCTCCAACCTAGTAGCGATGGCCTCCACCTAGTAGCTTCAAAAATCCAAGAATGCTTTCAAGCAGATGAAATGCAGGAATCCCTTTGTTCAGCAGATTTGTTAGCCGTGTCATAGAGGATCTCGAGTCGAGGGCCTCGTGCCCCCTGACTCTCGGTGAGGCTTTCTATGGAAGGTACACTGTGGAGGAGTGTGCCGTTGTCCGGGATGATGGGAAGGACTGGGATTCAAGGCTCCAGGGACGTCCAGAGCAATAGTTTGGAATGAGATCCAGAGCGATAGTTGGCATTTCCAGTTTGATTCTGTACTACGATTTGCTCAAAGGGTTTATTAAACCGAACAATTCTTCAACGACTTTGGAGCACCACTGTTTCTTTCGGCCGCATCCATCCCTAAGAGTACCGTAGCCGGACTGGCTTCGTGGCCAGGAGCCCAAGCAATGGCCAATCCTGTGGTCCGGGGATGGCACCGCCAAGTGGATGTACTTATTGGCCTTGGATGCGCTGGCCGTCTCGTGTCAGCCTGTGGCCCGCCTGGTCTTGCTGAGCCATCCCAAGGATCACTTGGAACGTCTCTTCTCCGCCTTCGAAGCCACACAAACTCCGGGCTCCATTGCGCCACGGGCCACGGAAGGGTCCTAGCGAGAGACGAGGGCAAATCCGGCCAACTGCCCTTGAGGCTTGGAAGAGCAAAAGCAGTACAATGATGGCGGTGCAAGCCTGCATGATCCTCTTCTACCTGACTGTGGGCGAAGTCTATGATGTATGGAGGTGCTCACCTGACCACGGCACAAGTCTTCATGGTGCCTTGTTTGCCACGATTGGCAGGCACGGCTGCGCAATGTCGGATCCACTCCAAAGTCAATGACTGGCCTTTCTTCACGCACTGGATTGCAGATTTCGTTTTCTGCCCTACATCCCTTGACCAGAGCGATCTCGAGATGAATTGGAGGGCCGCGTGCTGGAGATCATCGTCTGCTGGACGAACGGTCGCCGCGGGTTCAGTGAAAGAAGGGAGGGAACAGATGGGGGAAGGATGGGCGACAGGACGTTCTTGTTCCGTGGATGTTTTGGACGAGGATACTGGTCTACAACGGAAGTCAACTTCTATTGATCTTGAAGTTCACTCTGTTGGTTTTACAGTTTTACTGGATGTGTGTCGACACATGTTAGTCTTGTGTTGTGCTTGCAGCATGATGCCTTCTTCGAGCTTTCCTTCACTGGTTCCAGTTAAACCTGGCCTCAACGGCCTGGTTTGGACAAACTTCTGTGGATCCTGGCCTAGATGATCTACTTTTGCCAGCCTTGGCCATGATGGCTTCCAGAGCTTCTGACACCACTAGGGTGAAAGTGGGATCCAAACGGATAAAGGAAGCCCTGGAGCCTGCTCCTTCAACGGTTTTGAGCAATAGCACTCTGGAGAAGTCACTTAAAAAAGGCAGAGCCAATGGTTGTGGTACTACTCCAATTTCTGGAGTGTTTCTTTCAGCTCGAAGAGCTGTCCCAATGGCTCCACCTGAAACACTTTGAAGGATCGCAGTTCACACCACCCACGACCCACGACCGATGACGGCCAGGCGCTTCTTTTGGGTGGCCTCGACAGCGTCCGGGAGGTTCAGGCGCCCCCGTCCTCGTCGAGGCAGCTGGGCGAGAAGCCCGGGAGCCCAGGGGGTCTGCGCTACTGCTACTAGTAGCGTCCTTGCTCCTAGTAGCGATGCCAGGAGCCCCTAGTAG